AGCTTGAGGCTCTGTCTCAAAAAAAAAAAAAGAAAAAAAAAAAGAAATTCTAAATAGAATTACCATATGACCCAGCAATCCTTTTCTATATATATATCCAAAGAAGATGAAATCACCATCTCATAAAGATATTGGCACTGTCATGTTAATTACAGCATTATTCACAACAGCCAAGACAGGGAAACAAATGTCCATTGATATACTGATGGGCAAAGAAAATGATACATACAGCCCTCTCAAACACACACACACATACACAAACATTATTCAGCTTTTTAAGAGGGGATTCTGCCATTTGCCACAACATGGATAGGTCTGGAAGTTGTTATGCTAAGCGAAATAAGCCGGACATGGAAAGAGAAATATTGCATGATCTCCCTTATATGTGGTATGTGCGATTTTAAAAAAGAAGAATTAAAATACAGAGAGATAAAGAATGAAATTCTGGTTACCAAGGAAGTGACAGGAAGAGGAAATAAGGAGATGAAGGTCAAAGGATTCAAGATAACAAATATGTAAGATGACCAAGTTTATAGAGATCTAAAGTACAAAAGGAGGACTAAGGTTAATCAAATTGCATTGTATTTGGGAATTTTGTTAAATAAGTAGCTGCTTGTCACATAAAAGTATGTGAGATAATAAATATATTAATATCTTCAATTAAAAAAATCTTCAATTAATGTCTACAATGCTTCACTATTGTAACTATAACATCATGTTGTAAACCTTAAATATACACAGTAAAATGTATTTAGAAAAACAAAAAGCAGTAAAAAAAAGAAAGAAATATAGAAAAACAAAAAAGCAACCTGGGTGTCACAGTGTGCACCTATTGTCCCAACTACCAAGGAGGCTAAGGGGGGAGAATCCCTTGAGCCCAAGAGTTTGAGGCTGCAGTGAGTTATGATCTTGCCACTGCTCTCCAGTTGAGTGACAGATTGAGGCTCCCATCTCTAAAAAAAAAAAAAGAAAGAAAGAAAGAAAAGAAATCCATGAAGAAGCTGCATGACTTATAGGGAGTTCATCATCTAAAGAAATTTGACCACCGCCCCAGACTTTACTAAACCTTTCTGGAGCCCATACAGGCTTATTCGTATTCATTCATTCATGATTTTATTCATTCATTCACTTGTGTAACAGACCCTTATAAATGCATCCTGTGCATGGACAGAATGTGAAAGTTGAAAGGAACCTAAAAGGCTGATTAGGACAAGAATAGTCAAGATGATACCTACCCCAGCTAGACCAAATAATCTTTCTTGGGTGATGCCTGTGGCTCAAGGAATAGGGTGCCGGCCCCATATACCAGCGGTGTCGGGTTCAAACCTGGCCCCGGCCAAAAACTGCAACAACAACAAAAAGTCTTTCTCATAGGCCTCAAACTAATCCAAATCAGAAAGTCCTTTTTCCCCCATGTCTTTCTAGAGACTTTCATTACTCTGTGCAAAAAGATCTTCTGACTAATAACTTACTATGTGAGCTGTTAAAGCTTATTGAAATTTGGTTTTTATAAACTAATACCGCACTTTTCCAGATTTTTTCCTAGCACTCTGATTCCATGTTGTCAATCTGGCCACTTTGCAAGTACAAGTGTACATTGAGATAATTAGAACTCTTGTTGTTTTCAGAAAGACTCCTTTGCTAACAGCATAATCAGTAGTCATGGGTTTTTTTTGTTTGTTTCTTTCTTTCTCTCTCTCTTTTTTTTTTTTAGACAGCATCTCACTCTATTGCCCAGGGTAGAGTGTTGTGACCTCACCAGAGCTCCCCGCAACCTCACACTCTTGGGCCCAAGCGATCTTCTTGCCTCAGCCTCCTGAGTAGCTGGGACTACAGGTACCTGCCACAACTCCCGGCTAGTTCTTCTATTTTTAGTAGTCACAAGGGTCTGGCACTTGCTCAGGCTGATCTCCAAACTCCTGAACTCTAGCAATCCACCTGCCTCAGTCTCTCCGAGTGCTAGGTGGCAAGAGTCCCTGCACCCTGCCTTTTTAAGTCTGAGTCTCACTCTGTTACCTGGGCTAGAGTGCTATAGACTCAGCCTAGCTCACAGCAACTACAAACTCCTAAAATTGCTAGGCTTAAGCAATCCTCCTAAGTAGCTTGGACCACAGGCATGCACCACCACACCCAGTTATCTATTTTTAGTAGAGAGAGGGCTCTCACTCTTGCTCAGGCTGGTCTTGAGCTCCTAACTTCCCACCTTGACTTCCCAGAGTGCTAGGATCACAGGCATGAGCCACTGGGCCCAGCCAGTAGTCATGGTTTTCAATTGGTGCCATTTTTGTTCTTTAATTATAAACTTTTAGTTAAGCTTATCATTATTAACTCAGTTTGTTGTGGGTTATTGTATAGGCTATTGTGTTTTTCAACCAGGAGCTTAGACTAGATCAATGATGGTAGAGATGGCTAGATTGGAGGTTTATTTTGGACAAGAAGCACACAGGACTTGCAGATGGATTGAATGTGGGCTCTTGCTATAGCAGAGGTATTATTAATCCTTCCTCTTTCATTCATTTGAAGGAAGTGTCTAGCAGCTGTACATCTACTTTCTGATTATTATTGAATCCCTTTTCCACAGCTATGAAGCCTTTTGCCCCATATAAATAGGCTGGAATCATAAATGTATGATAGCCCTGTCCACACAACCCTTTACCTGGATAGATGAGGAACCAGGACGCAGTTTGAAGGGCTCAGCTCATACCATAGCCTATTGTTCTTGCAGAGTAGGACAAAAAAACAGATGTTGGCAAACTCTCCACGCTTTAATTCAATCCTTCAAGACTTTTTCAAGTGTCTTCCGTGGGTCACATAATATTCCAATCACTAGGAATGAAGAAAGCCTTACAATCACCTAGTGAGAAGAGAAATGAACAAATGAATAAAATGAAATGAGCAAATAAACAAAAACTGTATCGTAAAGTTCCTTAGGGTGTTGTGGGAAAAAAAGATCAAATCTAATTTGGGAAGAAAGAGTCAGAGGAAATTTAACAGAAGAGGTATTAATAACATTTGAAGTGAGTCTTTAAAACAAAATGAAGTTTTCATATGGAGAAGATAAAAAAAAGAAGAAGAAGAAAAATACCTGCCGTTCCAGCAATGAGCGCACCCACATTTCTTCATCACCATGAATACTTCTATATCTCACCAAATTTACTTACTTCACACATGTTACCAAAAAATAAAATTGTATTGCAAAAGGAGAATATATTATGTCAGAATTTGACTTGGAAGTGGATAGGCAAAGAAAAAATAAAAATTAAAGTCAACATATGACTATCCTCTGGGTATATTATGAAAAGTAATGATTACACAAATATTATATGGTTCCTTAATGTTGTCTTAATATGCAAACTTTATTAAGCCTATAAATGGTCTTCCTCTTTCATTCATTTGAAGGAAGTGTCTAGCAAGTTTTGAGGTCGTCCCTGTCTTAAAATACCTAGCTGCTGTATGTCAGTAGTGCATTCTCTCCGATTTTCTATTTTGGCTCAATTTTCATTCTCTCTGCTTTCTATTTTGGCTCAAAATTAACGAAAAAATCAGTTTGAAAAATCCAATGAATTTACTTTTTTCTTCAGTGTAAGTTCTCTACATTTTGAAGAAATAATACTAGTAGTATTAGGGATTTTTAAGGATTATGAAGTTGGAAATTCTCTAATTTTTAGGTTTC